TCTTTCCCTCTTCAAATTTAAAAAAATTCTTGTCAAAATTGTCAAAATCTAAAAAATTTTTAATGGTTGTATATTAACGCTATATTAAAGAATTCGAGTTGAAATAAAACATATGTAATACTGTGTGAAACTATGATCTTTCTTTTTATTTGTTTTCTAATATTTTTGTATTAAAAGAAAAGAGATCTATATAGATTTAAGATAAAACTACAAGTGACTACAAGAAATAAATTCTTGATATATCTAAAACAATGAAATTTCTCAGCAATTGTGTCCGCGAAATCACGCAGCAGTTGCTATATAAAATATATAGAGAACATTGTGCAATAAATCAAAATAAATCATAAATTGCACCACGAGCATATTTATGATATATGTTTCGATGGAAAAGAAATTCCAGGTTTTTTTTTAAAACATTGTGTACTGAGATGTAAAATGGTACATATATCGATACTAACAATTTATTACTGCATTTATTATTATTATTATTATAGTCATTACCGGAAATAAAAGCGCATTTAAATGAAAATGAATTATCGTGATGAGCTATCTGAGATAGCGATACAAAACAAATATCGGCATTTTTTGTGGAAACAAGAAAATTTCTTAGGCTAGATATCGTCCAAGTTCATTCAGAATTTACTTCCATAGTCATTATTATTGGTGTCATACGTAATTTTTAAAAAACTAAAAATAAAAAATTTTATATAAAAATACTTTTCTCTTAATTACGAGTATGCGCGAAAAAGATATTTCAAAGTATCATAACGTAAGCTATACAACTCTTTAGATAGACTATAAAAGAAAATTTATTTTTCGTCTTCATGAAGCAAATACATTTGTACATAAAAAATGTAAGAGAAAGTAAATCATAATATTAATGAAAATAATAATTGACAAAGTATATTAATTTTAATAATTGACCAATCAAAATAATGACAATATCGAATTAAATATCGCATTAATTCTCGGTAAAATTTACAGAAATAATAACATTTAGGAATAATAAATTATTATTCCTAAACGATTTTATAATGAGTAATAAATTAATAATCATTATATATTTTAATAATTTTATAACTTCAATTTCAAATGTTAAATAAAGTTATACTTATATACCACAATGGTATGCTATAACTGATGTCATTATTTCAATACACAACTATTAATTATGTATTTACGCAATATTGCGCGATGCAAAAAACAATATTTGAAGAGAGAAAATATACATAAATCGCATATTTTATAAAAAGTAATATATTGCAATCCTCTCTATTTCAAGCCATTTTTATGGCAGTTATTTCACGCTGATATTTTCAATGCGCTTCTCGTTATTTTCTCATGTCGGACACGAAAAATTATTTCTTTAAATTATTTCTTTAAATTTCTTTAATTTCTTTAATCTTTTTATGCTATACTAGAAAAAAACAATAAGATGAATCTATTTTGGCCTAAAAAGTGTAATGTATATTATACATATAATCTTATGCTTTTTGAGTTGCTGAATATTATGGTAACATTTTTATTTGCCTAAAGTCGTGAGAAAGTGATCAAAATTTGTCTTAAAGGAATCGAAATAAGTCTTGTTGCACATTAAAAAAGACTTATTTCAATCTCTTTATATAAATTTTGATCATTTTACAACGACTTTGGACAAATAAAAAGACTACTATTGTATTTAGCGACTCAAAAAGCATAAGATTATATGTATAATACATAATTCCACTTTTTATATGTATATACGTTATAATTCATAGGCAAAAATAAGTACAAGTCTCGAGAGATGATCGTCTTAAACGCAACTTCGACAAATAACGCGATAACTGCGCAAGCTTTGCAAATTTGACGCAGATGCACTAACAATATGGATGAGTATACGCGAAAGATTACGAAAAAGAAATATTGCAAACTCTTGACTGAGATTCGCCTAAATTCCGAATCGAATGGCGCGAACTTTGTTGCGCGATTGCAGTTCCGTTGATTTATTGCGAGCAGCAGCTCGGCAATTCGCAAAAAAAAAAAAAAAAAAAAAAAAAAAAATACGGGAACTCGGCAAACCAGCAAACGTAGGTTAGCAGGTTGCTGAACGGAGAATGTCGCATAGCGACAAAGCATACCACGCCATGTCAATCGCGCGAAATTGGATTAATGAAAAATACCTGTCGATTGTCAGCGAAATGCGTCCGCCAAAATTACCGTATTGATCAAAGCGATAGTATCTCATTTAAATGAATGTGAAACCTGTTACACATTCTTCTCATGTAATATATCTCTTTTTCATGATATGTGTCGTGTGGCAATACATGTATAAATAAGAGCTAGAAAAACATTTTTATTTTATCCAATCAAATTTAATAAAAAAATATATAAAAGAGTCGTTACACACACAAAACACATACTCATACATCAAAATTTTTCGCTTTGCAATCGGATTTGATATAGTCATGAGTAGTTTGCTTGCGAAAATAAACCGCAAAATTTACTCCGTTGCTGGTAACTTTACTCGTGATATCTACCTGCATCGATTAAGAAATGTAAACAGACTTTATGTGATAAGCGTGTATTCTACAGAATGATGTGTTTGCGGATATATTTTCTCCATCATATTAACGAGCCCGACAAACAGGATTTGTTTATGATACAAAACAAAAGATATATGCATGCCTAATATAACGATTTATGTAGTGTTTTTTGTAACCGTAATGCAATCGGGCGTGTGTAGCCGATTAACAGATTAATTTCCAGATTAATTGAGTGCGAGTAAATAAAATACGTAATCAAAATAATTTTCCAATATATGTATTTATTTCAAAATCTAACGATTATTACGGATAACGACGCGCGCTAATATTGCGTAATAGATTTATGTGAAAATATATATCTGTTTCTCTTTTTCTAAATATTAATACCTTTGGCAAATCAATAAACAATTTCTTAAAATTTGCTTAAAAAAAATCGTCTTCATGAAAAATAAATTCATTGATTATAGTTGCGGGATACACACACACACACACACACACACACACACACACACACACACACACACACACACACACACACGCATGTATGCGTTGTCCAACAGTAAGTAGATATATTGTTAATAATGTGGATAATATTGAATTCGCGAATAACACCTGATCCGATGCTAAAGGCATCGTTAATATGCCATGTAGAAGATAAGGACATAGTTAACATACCGATAGCGATAGGGGGACGTGCATTTAACACTTCGTTATACAGGAACATACGGTTAATGCATCATCGAGTATGTGTACATACAGTTAACACCAATTTCACATCACATGGCGTTCAAGATTCTCGCAAACTATCGAAATAACCGATAATTATAATTTGTAAGTGATTGTATTAAAAATTAGCGCGTCGATGCATTATCAAGATATAAAAAGTTTACATCTTTTTTAGGTTAAACAAATTTGAAACTTGATATATATTTTTGGAATTTTCAAACTTTTAATTAAATAGTACTTTTAATTAAATAATATTAAAGTAAAATATCCGCTTGTAATTGAGTGAAAAGTAATATTTTCTTATCCAATTCCATGTCTGAAAATTAATTAAAAGGTTTCTATTTTCATCCACTTAATATACTTAAATTTTAAATATAATTGCCAGTTAAATTCACGCGTTGAAAAGAAGAATCTACTTCATATATTAATAATAAAATCCACAAGGTGAAAATAGCTACGGCAAGAATCTAGCGCACGTTGTATACGCCATTTACGGAGAACACGTTGTCAGAATATATCAAGAAATCGATTTCTCTTACATATTCTCGAATGGTAAGCAGATGCAAATATAGTTTTTACCTATTCTAACAACATGTTCTTCTTATAAGACACTTCGATCCTACAATGCATCTTATTGCCTTTACACGCACAACGAATTGCGAATCGCTGCAATATTTAATCCTGCTTGTAACTGTCAAATTATTACAGTTTATGATAACGACGCGAGATGTATCAGAGTTTATATAGTATATAGTGTATATCGTGCCAATTTAAGAGCGCTTTTGACCGAAGAATCGACAATGAAATGCGACTGAAGTAGCTTTCGACATTTTTGCGAAGAAATTAAATCGATTGAAGCGCGCTTAAAATTGATGATAAGTCCTCATCGGACTAAAAGCAGGATAATAATGAAAGAAAAGACGGAATAATTGAACAGTTTTCGACGCAGCAAGATTTGCATGTGTACCTATAGTCTATGCAAAGTAATCCTAGATCAGAGAATCGCGAGCATTGCAATTCTATCTGTAATACAAATGGAGGGAAAAAGAATAATCTGATCATGAACTAATAGGCATTGAGCACTAATCAGTGGCGATGCGAGCGGATTTGAAGATAGAGCGAGCAAGTAAGCGATATCATCAAAAATAACTATTCCTGGTGACCTATTTTATTCGTCGCGCGTTTATTCCGTTTAGATTACAATTCGCACTGAAAGTTTTGAAGTCTATAATTGTGTTCATTCCGTGCCGATTCTACATCGTTATCGAAACTGCTATTTAAGAGGATATAGACATATCAATTTCGTACGCATTTTCAGACGATTAAAATCACGTACGAATAAATGAGATCATCGAATAAATGGAAAAGCAGCATAAAAATTGTTTAATATAATAAAATATTAATTTCCATTTTTTAATAATATTTTTTTACGAGCATTAATTAAATATTCCATAATAAGACGGGGATATCACATTTCTACGTTTATCGTATTTCTATCTCTGCTATATTACTTCATTTAATTCTGCGTCCATCGGGTTAAAGGATGCCATCTAAATGTAGGGTACGCGGCTTTCCTAAGAAGTTTAAGTGCTACGCTGAAGTAACTTCGTAATTTCAGGTTAAAATATACCTGTGTTTCGTGCAACACAATTAGCGCAGAGTATGCTGTCTCTCGTGTATATGCGCGGAAAGTTGAAATTAATTTAAACTTATTGCCTTGGAAGGTCGCAACTTTTTATTAGGGACAGGGTTAACTCGTTAACAAACACGAAAGTCGTAACAAATCTGCGACGCGAACTATCTGACATTATAAACCTCAATTAATTCATACAAAGTTACTAAGTTTTGAAAAGCTTTCTAAGTACATATTCTTAAGATATATAAGATTTCTATATGTCTAATTGTAAGTCATCACATATTGCAAGATTTCATATTTTCTTCCGGCAAAAACGAGAGGAAAAAAATCGGACGTTTTTGTTGAAAACTTTGATATTTTAAGAAAATTAATACGTTTTAATCTCGGGTTTACAATTAACTTATACATGATATAT